ATATATATTTTGAAAATTCTTTTTATTCATTTTGCCTTAGTTATAGATACAAACATGACACCAACATAGTTCCTTGACATTAACACTTTTATACAATGCGGCATAACATATGCCAAATCTTACATAAAATGCCTCAAAACAAGCTGCCGTTGGACAATCCCCTCCCCCCCGTAGATACTTATAGGACTCCTACTATACTATAACATCTCCACTCTCCATTAACTCCCATCAAACTGAATAACTTGCATCTTATATCTGGAAAACTCGTGTCAGTTTCCCATCCCATGAGCCGATGGTAAAGTTTGGAACTTTACGGAGGTGAACTCCACCCTCTCTCTCTCTCCCTCCCTGCCCAGTTGTCTCTCCCTAGGGTTATAGGATGTAGAAGCAGTACCGTTACGCCCTCGTGAGGGCAGCATCGCAACAGATGGCTATCCCTAGAGTTATTGTCTACACCCCCAGCGTATCTCTGGACTCAATCCACCCTGACCATACTTTGTCGAACTTTATAGGGCACCCGCTGGAAGCGTATGCCGCTTTATGTAATGGGAGGGCGGCATTGACTCATCTTTTATATTTGACCAAAAAAATTATATTTTGTTTCTGTGCAGTAAAATTCATTTTAGTGTATTTTATCCTCAGAATATTTGGTTTGATAAACATTTGTGCAAATATCATGCAACATTAAAAAAAAAAAATCGCAACTACCATTCTTTTATTCTACATGGCCTCCGCTTCCAGAAAACATAAGGCCCGGTTCACACCTAGGAGTTTGAGCAAATTTTTTTAAAAATGTCCAACGCAAGAAATTCCATGATTTTCAATGGCCCTGGTTCACACCTGAACAGAAAACCGCAAGCAGGAAAACACCCAAAAAGGCACATGAGCTTCTTTGGGCAGATAAAAGTGCTTTTACTCCCCATAGACTTCATTGGAAAGGGCCAAAAATGAGTGGTAGAAGCAGGTTGCACATTTTAGTGAGCGTTTTGGTGCGTTTAAAAGGCATGTTCTTCCATTGCCCGCAATGTTTTATGAGCTTCCAGTCAAAACGCACATCTTCATGTACGTACGTTGAAATGCGCATTATAAATGTGCACAGCGCGCATAAACGTGCAAAAACCGCATGCTAAGAACAGTGGCGCCTGGGTGTGAATCAGGCCTAATTGTTTTGGCGTTTTAAGCCGTTTTCTAGCCAAGAATTCAGATTTTATCTTGTGAGCAAAACTGAAGAAATTGTTCCGACGGCAAGTGGTTAAAGGGATAAAACAGGGGAAGATGCGAATGTATTGGAGATTTCTACATATTAACAACAATAATCCGCACTCAGGAAAGGCGAATTTTTGAAGGTTTATCTTGTACTGAGGATATCATTCTTTTTCAACATCATATCATTATTAATAGCGTCATTCACTCTATATGCACTGTGGAATATTTATCACTTCGTTTTTGGATGTTCCACTTATCACTTTTATTTGCTCATTATTGATTATTCCGACACATGTTATATTAGGGTTTAACAGGTTTATTTCAGCGCTGTGTTGTTCACAAGAGATTTCTGCATATCGCCATTGTCTGGACAGAAACTTTCAAACACATTCGGCCAGAAACCATCAAGAAATGTCACAAAGCACAGATTTTGATTTACATTTTTTATTTTTTTCTCTTTTTGTTTAGTTTTATACATCCTGTAATATTGACATAATGTAAAACTGTAAAAACCCTAAATACACATTTTCCATCATTCAGATAACTGAAGCAGCGAGAAATTTATAGACAACACGAAGGTCTTGACCATTTGATCCATTCACCCCAGCTAAAAGCGTCTTCTCACATGTTAATTACACGGGACAGCTTCTGCACTCTGTTCAGTAATAAATCTCCTCTCTTTATGGTCTCCTGATACTGCCAGTTCTTGCTGTCCGGCCTGGAAAACATAACGCGGCGTTACACTTCATATCCAAAGTAAAAGGTGTACTACAGAGTGCGTGTGTAATATTATATACCGTATTTTTCGCTCCATAAGACGCACTCTCTCCCCACCCCACCCCCAAAAGGCGGGCAAAAATGTCAGTGCGTCTTATGGAGCCAATGTGTGAGAGCTGTACATTTAGTCCTGCTCCTGCTAAATGTATAGTGTGGAGCCGCCGCCGCTCATTTTCATACAAGTGATCTGATTAGATCACTTGTAGGAAAGGCGCAGCAGCGATCCTGTCTGCCCCCCATGCGGTTTTCAGGGTCCCCGCTCCTCTGGGGGACCCGTGACCACGGCATAGGAGCTCACCATAGAGCAGATGAAGAACCTCCATCTTTGTCTGCTGTGTGATCACAGCGCCACCTGTCTCAGCTGTCAGGAACTACACGCGTCTTATGGTCAGGTGCGTGTTATGTACCGCAAAATACACTATATATAACGTCACAACAATCTTAAGTGTACTTGCACAGGGATATGTCCACTTTGCACATCCTCACTGAAAACAAGCTGACCCTATAATTTAAAAAGAAAGGTACCTCTATGGACAATTCAAGTACATAAGCTTCTACTGCCCCGTGCACTGTAGCAGATGCAAGAGGTTCAAGATGGTGAAGAAGAAGAAAAAGAAGAAGAAGAAGAAAAAGAAGAAGAAGAAGAAAAAGAAGAAGAAGAAGAAAAAGAAGAAGAAGAAGAAAAAGAAGAAGAAGAAGAAAAAGAAGAAGAAGAAGAAGAAGAAGAAAAAGAAGAAGAAGAAAAAGAAGAAGAAAAAGAAGAAGAAGAAAAAGAAGAAGAAGAAAAAGAAGAAGAAGAAGAAAAAGAAGAAGAAGAAGAAAAAGAAGAAGAAGAAAAAGAAGAAGAAAAAGAAGAAGAAAAAGAAGAAGAAAAAGAAGAAGAAAAAGAAGAAGAAAAAGAAGAAGAAAAAGAAAAAGAAGAAGAAAAAGAAAAAGAAGAAAAAGAAGAAGAAAAAGAAAAAGAAGAAAAAGAAGAAGACAAACCACAGGCACCTTTTTTGGATCATGAGGTCAGTTCCTGTTCACTCACATGGAGGATTGCAATAAATAAATGGCTGCAAGGATTCCATGTGTGGGGAATCTTAATTATAAATCACAGCCTGCTATGCAATAATTATGACATGTTTTAATGAAGACATTACTAAAAATACATTTTTTTAAAGTAATGATTTAAAAAAATATATATATTTGTAGGAAGTAAACCGCGGGTGGTTCAGATCTTTTTTTTTTAAATCTAAATTTATTAGAATTAGAAAATAAAATGGAAACATCCTTAGTGCAGAGGTCTGAGAAGGAGAAGTTTGTGAGGTGTAAAACTGATTTCCTTTTTCTCAGATAACTACCCAATTTATGCGATGATTTGTATGATTTATATGATTTATATGATTTGCATGTTTAAAAAGGCAATACATTTAGGATTCTGGTACAAAAGCATTGCAAAGTTAGTTACAAATGTAAAATAAAAAAAAAAAATGCTTTCCCCCCGATTTGCACTTTTTTTAATGTAACAGTAAAAAAAAAAAAATGCAAAATGAATAAAAAATAAAACAAGTTTAAAAAGTTAAGATAAAAAAAATCAGCAAGAAAAAGAATAGTTAAGGGGAGAAGGGAAAGAATGTATTATTTAGGACTGATTAGGGTAAACACAGAGTTGATCTGCAGATGAATGAAACAGAGTAACAATGGTGCTTTGTATGCATCTCCCCCCTCTGAAAAGTGCTTAAAACGAGAACTATGAGGCGAGTGATCTACACTCCTCATAGTTAGAGCCGACCTGTGACATTGAAACTGTCACACGTCGGCTCAATAGATCGGGAAGTGAGCGAACACATACCGTCGCTCACTCACTCCCTGCAGAGCCGTGACTGACAGTCCCCACTCCCCCTTCCCGCTCCAATCCTCCAGCGCTGAATGGAGAAACGGATGGGGGGGCAGGGGGTACAATCAGCCAGCTGGGTGGATCTCAACAGTATTGTTGGGATCTGTCCCGGCTGCGGTGCTCTCAATATATAGCGAGCTCTAGCCCGCTGTATGTTGTGCTTCGGGTCACGGGAGGACATTAGTATTTGTCCTCCCGTGACCCTAAAGAGAACTATGGGATAAAAAGGTTACCTCATAGTTCTCTTTTAACACCATGCAAGACGGTTCATTTTTTTTTATTACAGCTGCTGCACAGTAACTCCTGACATCTGAGAATTACTGTCAAGTGTTCAGGGGGAGCAGCAGTGGTATAGAAAGTTAGAGCGTACTACATATGGCCCATGTACTTCAATCAGAGCGTAGAGCATGCCCAGCGTCACCAATTAGTTACACAGAAGTTCCGAGATGCAGATGAGCGATAACATGGCAGCACTAGAAGGTTAGCCTGTGTGTAATGGAGGCAGACAGCGGTACAAATAATAACACCCAAATTCAAACCGTCAGACAGAAAGACCTTCATTGGAGGTTGTGAGCATCAGACGTTGTAAGAATGAAGCTCGTGTACTCGGTTACCTGTTGGTTTCTACAATCCCATTCACTTTGTCTATCTTGCAGTGTAGTCTACCAGCAGCAATAAATCTGGAGAGTTCCCTGCAAAGAAAGGAAAGAAAACAAACCGTCACTGAGAGCTGCAGGAGCACACGTCCTATACATGTTACCCATGTGGGGTTTGG